TGGCGGCGACGGCTGCGGCGGCGGCGACAGCGGCGACGGCTGCGGCAGCGACGGCGGCGGCGGCGGCGACGGCTGCGGCGGCGGCGACAGCGGCGACGGCTGCGGCAGCGACGGCGACGGCGGCGGCAGCGGGGTCGGCGACTGCGACAGTGGGGGCGGAGGCACCGGGGAAGGGGGACGCGGCAAGGACGGACTGGGGGTACCACCAGAGTCAGCAGAATCCTCAACGGGGACAACCGACGGGAGGGGAGTGACGTGAGAGACACCAGACGGGGCAGGATGAGGCGAGAGAGGGGCAGGGGCTACCGGGGGAGAGGGAGCAAGGAACAAGGGGGGGCAACTGGGAGACCTCGGTGAGGGAAGCGGCGGTAGGAGGAGACGGACTCGTCAAAGGTGACGTCACGAGAGTGGAGGAAGCGGTGAGACGGCGGGTGGTAGAAAAGCCAGTCAGACGAGTCCAGGGGGAAACCGAGGAAGACACAGGGGACAGTGCGGGCAGTGAGCTTGTCCGTGCCAGAGGCACGATCGTGAGCAAGGCAGCCCCAGACGTGGAACGCAGACGCGTCACCGGGGGACCCGGTCCAAAGGAGGGTCGGCGAAACCTGCGGCCGCTGGGAGCGTGGCCACAGGTTAAGCTGGTGAGCAACATAGCGAACAGCGAACGGCCACAGAAAATGGGGGGCATCGGCATCGAGGGACGGGGGCAGGGCCCCAAACGTCCAGGTGCAGGGTCTGAAGGGGGGCAGTAGCAGGACGCAGCGAGGAGGAGTGAGGAGCACGGCGGAGCCGACCCTCGACGCAAGGCGTGCACGGTGGCGCAGTCGAGGGAGGAAGGGCAGGGAGCGACGCGGGGAGACCTAAGACAAGACCGTGCTGGGACATGTGACGCAGACGGGGGAGAGCAGGGTGACCTAAGAGGTGGTGCCAGAGAAGGGAGGGGTAAGTGAGGGACCGACACGAGCAAGCTGCAGCGACCTGGGAGGACGCACCAACCGGGGGGGAAGCGGTGTCTAGGGTAAACAGACCGGACACCGGGTCGCGGGGGAACGTCGCAAGGGGGGAACCTGAGACAGCCTCAGAACAGACAGCGAACCGCTCGTGCCCGGGGAACGTGGTGGTGACGCCGAGGTCCTGGAGACAGCCGACACCAACCAGGTTCCTCGAGAACGAGGGAACGTGGAGGCCAGTAAGGGAGCCCGAGGGAACTGCCGGACAGGGAAGGGACGTAGAACTGCGCGTGACGACAGGACCCGCAGAGGGGTCAGCGAGAGAGACAACAGCAGGTGCAGCAAGCGGCGTGAGCATGGAACGGTCGCGGAAGAAGCAGGCAGAAGCACCGGAGTCGAGAGTGAAGGACAGCAACGCAGTGGCGGAGGCTGGGGACGGAGCCGGTGCAGCGACTAAACTAGGCAACCTAGGCAGTCCTACGCCTGACGCAGCAGGGGAGGCTAAGCTACACAGTGGTGCAACACCTAAACTAGAGTATACAGGGTAATAAGATCCAGCAAAACTAGAAGCGTCAGAATACAAAGCATGCAAAGCAGCACCTAGCTGATCCATGTCTAACTCAAAGATCGGCACGCCCTGGCGGAGCAGGCTGTGCCAGTCGGGGAGGTCCGGGGCCGGGCCAAAGCGACGACGAAAGAGATCGTCGAGGCGGCGGAAACAGCGGGCGGTCGGATGCGGGCGGCGGCACAGAGTGCCGCGAAGAGGCCCGGTCTGAAGCTGGTACTGGCAGGTGACAGCACCGGAGCCGCCGGTAGACGCCAAGCTGCGTGGGCCGCCACCACGGCCACTACCTCCGGAGGTGCCGGGCCAACCAGGCGGGAGACGGGCCCACTGCTGCGGCGACTGCTGCTGGGACGGTGACTGCTGCTGGGGCGGCGGCTGCGGCTGGGGCTGCTCCTGCTGCGGCTGGGGCTGCTGCTCCTGCCCACCAGTGGTAGTCCCCACAGGCGGACTACCGTCACCACCACTACTACCACCACGCCCTACCCCCCTGGCGACCACGGCCACCGCGGCGCGAGCGCTGCTGCGGGTGGGCCGCACCAGCCGTCTCGGTGAGAGGGGCCACCGAGGCGACCGCAGCCAAAACGTCAGTGAACGCACACTGGGAGGGGGCACAACCGTGAAAGATAGAAACTGCCGGCGCACCGCTCGACTGAGCGATAGTGCGCTGGCGAGTCTCGATCTCGGTAAGGGTGTCGACAAAGGCAGTGAGAGTGAGGTCACCCGGGTGCTGGCTAAGAAAGTGATCGCGAGCACTAGCGAGGCGGTCTGGCAGGCGCATGGCGATAAAATAGAGCGTCATGCAGAAAGGGGGGGGGAGCGCAGTGAGCTGGGCGGCAGTGCTGGCAGTGCGATAGCGGGTCTCTAGGGCACGCAGGTGAGTGACAAAGTCTGCGACGGTAGGGAAAGCTGCAAGGTCTGGGAAAAGCATAGGGAAGAGCAGGCGACCAGCAGAAGCAGACGCGGGTGTGGAATAGCGGGTAATAACAGCGTCTAAGTAAGCTTTGGCCGTCTCAATAGTAGCAAAGCGTGAGCACTCAGAGACAGGGAGGGCGTGGCTAATGGCAACCTGAGCGACTGCATCGCGGGAGTCCCAGACCGCACGGGCAAGCACAGCAGTAGAGAAGGTCTCACGGTCATCAGATGAGGGATCAGCAGGGAGGGGAGCAGGTGCGGGGGGGCGGGGGAGCAAGCCGTCGATATGGACAACCAAAGAGTGGCCATCCTGGCGCTGACCTGTAAGGTGGCGGCGGAGATCGGAGAGCCAGGCGGCGAAGTCAACCGCATGGCCCTCGGCGTCCAGTCGGAGCACGAAGTCCGCCATCGTGCAGGGTCAGCGGCACAGCTCCACAGGAACACAGCGACAGCCCCCTCCAGCACGGCGGCTGCGAAGCGCCTCAGCACGGGCGAGCAGAGGAGACGGAGCCTGAGGCGGCACGGCAGGACGAGCCGGGGCGAAGGGGCCAGGCAGGTGCGGTGGGGCCAGGCAGGTGCTGGCGGGGCCAGGCAGGCGCGGCGGGGCCAGGTAGGCGCGGCGGGGCCAGGCAGGCGCGGCAGGGCCAGGCAGGCGCGGCGGGGCCAGGCAGGCGCGGCGGGGCCAGGGAGGCGCGGCGGGGCCAGGCAGGTGCGGCGGGGCCAGGGAGGAGCGGCGGGGCCAGGCAGGCGCGGCGGGGCCTAGCAGGCGCGGCGGGGGCCAGGCAGGCGCGGCAGGGCCAGGGAGGCGCTGCGGGGCCACGCAGGCACGGCGGGGCCAGGCAGGTGCGGCGGGGCCAGGCAGGCGCGATGGGGCTAGGCAGGCGCGACGGGGCCAGGCAGGGCGCGACGGGGCCAGGCAGGCGCGTCAGGGCCAGGCAGGTGCAGCGGGGCCAGGCAGGCGCGGCGGGGCCAGGCAGGCGCGGCGGGGCCAGGCAGGCACGACAGGGCCAGGCAGGCGCGACGGGGCCAAGTAGGGCGCGACGGGGCCAGGCAGGCGCGTCAGGGCCAGGCAGGTGCAGCGGGGCCAGGCAGGCGCGGCGGGGCCAGGCAGGCGCGGCAGGGCCAGGGAGGCGCGGCGGGGCCAGGCAGGCGCGACGGGGCCAGGCAGGGCGCGACGGGGCTAGGCAGGGCGCGAAGGGGCCAGGCGGGCGCGACGGAGCCAGGCAGGGCGCGACGGGGCCGAGCGGGCGCGACGGGGCCAGGCAGGGCGCGACGGGGCCAGGCAGGGCGCGACGGGGCCAGGCGGGCGCGACGGAGCCAGGCAGGGCGCGACGAGGCCGAGCGGGCGCGACGAGGCCAGGCAGGGCGCGACGGGGCTAGGGTGGCGCGACGGGGCCCAGGAGGAGCGCGACGGGGCTAGGAGGCGCGACGGGGCCCAGGAGGGGCGCGACGGGGCTAGGGTGGCGCGACGGGGCTAGGGTGGCGCGGCGGGGCTAGGGTGGCGCGACGTGGCCCAGGAGGGGGGCGACGTGGCTAGGAGGCGCGACGGGGCTAGGAGGCGCGACGTGGCCTAGCTAGGGTACGGGCGGAAGCGGTAGGTGGGGGATGCTAACCTACGCGTGATACCATGTCAAAGTGAGAACGAATAATGACTAGAAGTGGAAACCTAGAACAAATAGTAGTTGGTTGTACTCACTAGAAGCATACCTCAGTCTAGCCTATAACTTCTACATAGATAATATGTATAAGTTGACACTATGTTCATACTGATTCGACAGGGTGAACCTCAAATCTATACTTTGGCCTCAGGGTAAATTCTGAAACGCTTGAAATCTCAGAAGTCACTCTAAACAGCAGCAGCAGCACACTTGGCTTCACGCGTTGTGATGGGTTGAGGACTTAGCCGCGACTGGCCGAGTTTGCGTCAACTGTAGCGCACGAGGCAATCAGACCAGGAAAATTTTCTTCGTCTGACTGTCAGACAGAATTTTGCTGAGACCGGATGGGCGTTCAGTTTAAAACGAATGCAGCCCTTGAAAACCCTGATGAAGTCAAATGCAAGAAACGAAAAGTTGCGTGAAAAAACTGCTGTTGGATTTCCATCAAGCGGTTATGACGGCGTTTGACAAGGCTCGATGGTGTTGTGATATAATTGGTACTTAGCATTTCTGTAAGTCGATTAAGTGTAGTTAGTGTCGAATCATACTGTAGAACATAAGTCCGTAGGATGACGTCAGCAAATAGCACTCGTCATAGGACAGTCGTTTCAGTCACGCGAATAGTCGCACCTCTTCATTATCATCTAGGGCGCATAGCGCGATAGTGACGAACAGGTACATTAGCGAATAGATACTTTTTTTTTCTAGAACTATAAATCCTTGTCAGGTCTTTTCATTATTAACTTTGAAAACCCACAAGTTCACATACTCAGGTTATTCAACCTTGACTATTACATTTTACAAGACTTCCGCTATCTTACTAGTCTACCATTTCAGCAAAGATCCTGGACCAACACTTGAGGATTTGCCAAGTGTTCGTGTTTATAGTTTTATACTTGGTCTACTACAACACCATACGATTTACTTCATGGTATGAGAGCTATCTGGAATTAAGACTACCGTCAACTATGACTGGTTCAACACCAGCACCATTTGCTGGATCAGTTACTGGGACTACTGGAGCACATGCCTCCACTACCGCCGCTGGTCTCTCAGCCTCTGGGCACTTTCCACCAGCCTACGCTAATATCGGTATCAGGGCTCTCGCTAGGATTTGGGGCTGTCTGAAGATCAGACAAAATTTTTGGTGCCCGTCTGACGATCATCTGAAAATTTTAGTCCAGTCTGACGTTTGTGACGAACTTTTCTCCACTGTCTGTTTTTCAGACGAAAAAAAATCGCTCGTCTGGGTTGTAATTGCGACAGCACGGATGCGTATGTTACTACTGTACAGGGAATAAATTCGTGTCAATTACGACGGGCCACAATGGTCGGCAAATAACTGAGTGACACAATGTGGCTTGACATTGTCTCACGTATGAACACCTCCGAAATCGAATAGGGCCGAAATCGGGGGGAAGAGGGGAGGGATCAAAACCGAGGGAAGGGGGGAAGCAAAATGGAGGGGAAGGGGGGATCGAAATGGAGGGAACTGTAGGGGGAAGGAAAACAGATGGGAGGGGGGAAGCGAGACAGAGGGGGAGGAGGGACACAGCTCTCTCAAACCCCTCTCGATGTGATTGGCTAACAACCCAGGAATTTGTAGAGTGGGCATGATTCATATGGTCAGGAAATCTGAGCCGTTCATCGCCCTCGGCTGTCGAACAGCTGAAAATTGTCGAAACGATCGCACTCGATCGTGACCGTCAAATATTGATGGAATCTCAATTGACCTGACGGGCAACTAACGAAAATTCCCCTAACGGATTGACTGCTGCTAGAAAGTAGCTATTACATCTCTCCTGCGTCTAGAGGCAAAAACATCGTGGGTATTAGGGGATGCCATTGAGCCTTTTTTTGGGGGGTTGTGGGAGTGTGGGAGGGGGAACGTCTGTATAGTAGGACTTAGCCGATTGTTTTTTTTTGTTGCGTGTGTGGGGGGAAATGTCGTACACGAGGACTTAGCAGATACGGGTTGCTTGGTGTGTGGGGGGGATGTCTGTAGAACAGGACCTGGCCAAATTTTGCAGGTTGCAGGGTGTGTGGGCGGAGTCTCTCTAGCCTTTGGTGACTTCGCCGAAAATTCAGGACTGTGGGCAAACAGATACAATTTGCCTCTATCAGAGTTTTCGAGGGTCTACCCAGTTGTCGGTTTCAAACGAAAGTGTACACGTTGTCTGAATTCTAAGACGAAATATAACTCAGTGTCTGTTTTTTCAGGCGAAATTTAAATATGCGTCTTAATGTTCAGATGAAATAAAATGGGTGGTCTAACAAATCAGATGAAACTAAAAAATCGAGTCTGATTTTCAGACCATCAGACCGATTTCGTCTGATATCAGGGGCCCTGATCGGTATGCAGAATCCGCCTTCTGTGAATACTCCAGGTGCTCCATCGACTGCACCTGCAACGCAACAGCAACAATCACAGACAACAGGACAGCAACAAGCATCAGTACAGCCACCAGTTTCAACGCAATCAATTTCATATGCGTTTAGTGGGATGAGCCTTGACGGCTCAAGTTACATGCGTGGAGCTACAGCTCCAAATACTGGTTCGTTTGCCTTCTCACCTTTCGTACAGCAGCCGCAGTCGCAGCAGTTTCAGCATCCTTTTTATATCTTCGGTCGTTCTCCTGCTCAGCAACTACAGCAAGTACAGCAACAGCAGTATCAGCAACCACAGCAACAGCAACAGCAACAGCAACAGCAGCAACAAAAGCAACAACAACAACAACAGCAACAGCCAGGCAGTGTTTTTCAGCCTCCAAATTTACTTAATAATACTCAGATCAAGACAACCGTACCATTTAATGGTGTTGACTTCTACTCCTGGAGCTTTGAGTTTGAGCTTCTGGCGCAGTCCGCTGGGCTATGGCCGTTCTTCACTGGCGAATTTACGTACCCTGTCGTGGGAACACAGCTGGAGAAGCAGAGTTTTTTACACGCCTCTCTCGGGGCGTATACAGTTCTTGTACGAAACCTGTCACCGAAGGAGCAGCTCGGCGTTCGATCATTTCACTCAAGTTTCACACCAGCCGAAACTGCATGGAATCATCTCAAAGGGGTATACATGGCAAAGGATACGATAACAGTGAGTAAAATCCTTTCGCAGCTGACAAGTGTGCAGATGATGACTACCGAAAATGTCATGGACTACGTTAACCGAGTCCGTACACTACGCGATCAACTGGAAAAGAGCGGAGGATACTTCCCTCGTGAGATGTATCTCACGGTCCTTCTGGCTGGTCTTGGACCCGAATGACGACAGACGCGCACCTTCCTGCACATGAATCCCAACCTCTCCGAAGCTGAAATTTCTTCTTATCTTCAAGCAGAGCAGCAAGATCTTGACCTGCAGTCACAATGCAACCAAAAAAGGGGGGTTCATTTAAGTTTCTACTCCAATCCAGAAACACAGCATCGACATCCACCAAAGTGTCCGTTCTGCCATTTCTGTAAGAAACCAGGACATACTTACCAAAACTGTCGCAGCCGTCATCAACGTCGCAGCACTTCGTAGCCGTATCACCGATCGCAGCAGTCACCGAAGACACAACCGCCACAGCCTTGGCCATTTAAGGAACATTTTACATGAATGAAGTGGGCAGCACTGAGGTGTGGAAAGAATTGTATTTTGTAGCGGATTTCCGTGTGCTGGGGGAGATTGGGGAATGGGACGGAAAACGAGCGCGAGAGGGGAGTCAGATTTACACGGGCGGCAGAGGGGCGGGAAAAAAACCACCTGCTCGTGATTGGTTGGGTGTCAGAAGGGTGTCAGAAGTAGCGGGGGTGTGGGTGGGAGGCATGACTTTTGGCGGGAACTTAGCCATTTCTGTTTTGCGAGGGGGTGGGGGAGTTATGACTCTGGCTACGACTTAGCCGAAATTGCTGGTTTGCATGGTGCGTGGGGTGGGAGGAATGACTCTGGCCGCCAGGGACTTCGTCGAAATTTTTGGGATGCAGGGTGTTGTGGGGGAAATGTTTCTGGCCGCCAAGGACTTAGTCAGAATCTCGGAGTTTCGATACCAAGGTAGTTTTCAGGACACCCTGAAGGGTCAGGGTTCGGGGCCCTGCAACCCTAGTTTCGGCAAGCTAATTTTTCGTAACACTTTTTGGATCAGGGTAATAAATTTCGTAAGTCTGATTTTTAAGACCAAATAAAAAAATGCCCCGAAAAATCAGGGCAATCAGGGCATTTCACCCGGCTAATTTGGGCCCTGGTTTCACGCACGCGAACAGTCGCGCTCTTTTCAGTAGTGGTTAGAGCGCATAGCGCAAATAGTTTGAACATGTATATTACTGAATACCGTATTCCCCCGTATAAAGCACCCTACAGTGGTAACCAAAATGCCTCTAAATTTTGAGGAGGGTGTAATTAGAGGCTAATTTTATATAAGGACTGGGTGTTGTGGAACATGCGTACCATAAAAGCCCGGATAGAAGTGTTAAAGTAAGAACTGAATAATTAACTAGAAGTGGAAACCTAGAACAAATACTAGCTGGTTGTACTCACTAGAAGCATACCCCAGTCAAGAATATAACTTGTACACAGCTAACATGTATAAGTTGACACACCCCCTAGGCTAGACAAGGGGTGAAGCTAAGCAAGAAGCAAACAGCTCAGGGTGGCACTACCATTCCAACCACTGAGGCAGGGGTCTGGAGACCAGTCAGCAAGGGTACAAACAAGACTAAAGCAAGCCAGGGCGGCATTACTAGTCCAGCCACTGGAGGTAAGGCCACAAGGCCAGTCTGATAGGCATATATAATAGAGAGTACACAATCAGGATCCTAACAGGTGAGTAGCTACAGGAACAAGACCAAGCTGTACACAATGCCGCTGATGATCATTAGGCGCAAGTGCCTTAGTAAAGATATCAGCTGTGTTGGCACCTGAGGCCAAGTGAACTACGCGGGCCTGGCGGCGCTGCTGTAGCTCGCGCAGGAGGAAGTACCGCAGCTGGATATGCTTCGCTCTGCCCTCAAGCCGAGGCTCCTGACACAGGAGTATCATGGCCCTGCTGTCAGCGTACAGGACCGGGGCAGAGCTAGGCCGCTCACCTAAGTCTGTGAGCAAGAAGGTCAGCTAGCGGAGCTCCTGTGCCGCCATGGCACCAGCGTAGATCTGAGCCTCACAGCTGGACTGAGCTACAGACGACGAGCGAGTGGATCTCCAAGAGATAGCACCCGAACCAAGGCTGAAACAGTAGCCCTGCGACGACCTGAGCGTCTCAGCGTCGTCTGCCCAAGAAGCGTCTGTGTGCCCAGTAAGGACCACTGGCCTGCGTCCTCCTAGCACTAACCCCCTAGCACTAGCAAGATAGAAAAGCCAGTTAGACTTGTCCAGGGGGAACAGCAGGGTCGGTAACAAGAGAGGCAAGGACCCGAGGGACAAGGGGACGAGCGGCACGGAGGTAGTCAGAGAACGGAGGAGGTGCAACAGCAAGGGACGAGGGAGGAGGGGACGGGAGAAGGGGAGGACGAGACGAGCGGGAACGGAGCAACATAGGGTGGGTGGGAAGGACAGGAGAGACGGGACGAGCACGGGAGGGATGGCGAGACCAAACGTGAGACGGAGGTGTAGGGTCTGGGGACAGTGGAGGGGACACAGGAGGGGAACGAGGAGGAAGACGGGCCGGAGATGAGTCCGGCGGCGGGAACACAGGACCGTAGACAGGAAGGTCAGCAGGCGGTGGAGGAGACACCGGCGCGCGGTCCGGGAGGGAAGGCCGAGCAGGCGGAGAGCGGAGACCGGCGGCGCCGGCTGCTGCGGCGGTGGCGACAGATGGGCTGGAACCCTCAGACCAGCAGAGGCAGGACGACCGTCGGCAGAACACTCAACAGCAGCACCCCTAGAACCAACACTCCCAGAGCGAGTGATAAATGTGTAGTGTTCTGTGGTGTAGTTTGCTCTAGCTGGTTGTGGGCTATTGGGATTTGGGCAAAAGATGTGGGTTGGTTGGCTAGGTTTGATCTCGTTACCTTTCCAACCCATACAACCCCAAACCCACTACAACATCTTTGATGTTGCAGATGTGGCACTTGGAAGTGTTAGGGTTTGGTCCAGGGCGAGGGTTGGTGGTGTTTGACAATCTCATTCTCGAACTTTTCCAGATCTAACTGCTGCCCCTCTCGTTTTGACTAGGTCATTCATGGCTGCCTAGCCAAATTACCAGAATATCTCCTCACACTGATTTCGTCATAATAGGCGGCTCAGATCTTGGATATGAACGTGCTTTACCATTCTGGAAAGTAGAGATTAAGACCTTTCCAACGCGTATAAGCTAATTTCTAGAAGTTACCTGAGCTGTACGCAATGTTCCGTTGAGGTCGTCAGACTTAATCTCAAATTAATTCTCTCCAGATTTGCACGATTTCCATCAGTGGTATCAGAGCCACGGTTAGAGGACGTTCTTTCCTCCATTGGAAGAGATCTAGAGAGGCTTGAAGTGCTCCAGATCTAGGGTTTGATATGGCCCAAAAGTTGGATGGCCCTCCTAGGTTTACCGGCTCGGACTTTTCGCTATGGAGGTTCCAGTTCACACTATGGCTAGGTATTAAGGACCTAGAAAGTGTGTTGGATGGATCGGAGAAGCGACCACGAGCTGACTCTGGGGAGGCGTCTACTGGAGCAACCAGCCAAGTGGGATCCGGGGCTGGGGGAGCGTCGTTGAGTGGGGTGAAGGAAGGAGGAACTGCTGCAACTCGAACCGGAAGGTCGCAACCAAGTAGCAAGGAGTTGCTCAAAGCTCAAGAAGCATGGGATCGGAAGGATCGCCAGGATTTTCAGTACCTGTGTTGGGCTTTGGAGGGGCAACTTGAGCTTCTTAAGATGCTGATTGACGTGAAGGGGAAGGAAGGTGCAGCGGCTGCAGCTTGGAAAAGAGTACAAGATAGGCACTTGCAGAAAGGGCTTCTAAGCGTGCTTACTTGGCGGAAGCGGTTTTACACCATGGAGCGGAACTATGGGGAGGGGGAGACCATGGTTCAGTATCTCCAGAGGGTGGATGAGAATGTGCGGGCTTTGGAGGAGCTGGATTACACGGTAGATGAGAAGGAGATCATCTATACTGCGCTCCAAGGGTTGGATCAAGCGGCTAATGAGGCATTACTACAGTACCTTCACCTCGAGCAACAGAAATGGACCAAGGTGTGGATTTGGGAGGTTCTAATTTCTGATGAGGCTCGCAAGGTTGATGCTGGAAGAGGTCTAGAAGGAGGCATGGGTGCAGCAGATAAAGCTTCCTTCAGGAAAGGCTATCAACAGCAAGGAGGTGGGGGGAAGAAGAAAGAGTTGGACAAATGCCTTGTGCCCGGATGCAACAAAAAACACTCTTGGAAGAGTTGCTGGAGTAGGCCTGAGGGATGGAAGCCTCACGGCTACTCTGGAGAGGCCCCACCAGTGACCAAACCTGATTGGGTGGAGAAAAGGATGAAGAAGGGGCTCTGGAATAAGAAGGGCAGCAAGGGAGCAACGGCCGCAGCTGCTAAGGATGAGAAGGGGAAGGGCCAAGACAACTCCTCCGATGATGGTTTCTCGTTTCTCATGCTAGGGCAGGATGCAGCTTTCGCTGGTCGTGCATTGGCTGATCCCAACTTCCTGGTTCTAGACTCTGGAGCAACATCTGGGATGCTTCCTCGCCGTGATCTTTTCACCTCCTACCATCCTCTCCCACCAAATTCGAGGAACGTGATTGTTGGGAGCGGAGATTTGCTGCAAGCAATTGGCATCAGCACGATCACCATTAAGGGGAAGGAGGGGGAGCTAGTGGGTGTGAAGGGGGTCCTTCACGTCCCTGGTTTGGCTGCAAACCTCCTTTCATGCTCGCAGCTGGCTAAACAGGGATACATCTGCACTTTCACTGAGAGAGGGTGTACTGTTAGAAAGGGTGAAGCTGTGGTGATGGAGGCAAAGCTGGACAAGGGTTTATACCTTGTTCCAGCTTGTGTGCCTAATTGTTACAAGGCACATATGGTTTTTTCTGAGGAAGCCGCTTGTAGCACTCGCTGGAGGCAGGTGGAAATGGTGTCACCTGAGTTGCTACACCTTCGCATGGGGCACGCGGGGAAGCAGCAACTGCTGGAGTGTGTGAAGAAGGGGGAGCTGAAGGGGGTGGAGGTCAAGGAAGGAGCTGGGCAGCAGAGCAAATGTCCCGACTGCACGTCTGGAAAGCTGCCTAGAACCTCATTCCCTATCTCCTCTGATCATGCCTCGACTCCCCTTGAGCTGGTGCACACGGATGTGTGTGGACCGATGCAAACTCCTGACCGGGAAAAGGGCAGCAGATACTTTGTCACCTTTCTTGATGACTTCAGTCGACTTAGCTGGGTCATCTTGGTGAAGACCAAGGATGAGGTGGCAAAGGTGTTTAGGCGGTGGATACGCTATGTGGAGAGGGAGTCAGGGGCCAAGGTGAAGGTGTTAAGGTCAGATCGGGGTGGAGAGTACCTTGGGAAAGAACTTCAAACCTTCTTGGAAGAAAAGGGTATTACCCACCAGCTCTCTGTACCTTACACGCCGCAGCAAAATGGGGCAGCGGAGCGGCTTAACAGGACCTTGACCGATTTGGCTCGGGCCATCCTTTCCCATGCCGAGCTTGATAACACTTGGTGGGGGGCAGCAGTGCAGTATGCCAACTGGGTGAAGAGGATGGGCAGCAAGGGGCTTGGAGGCAAGAGCCCATACTCCTTATGGACAGGGAAGGTGCCGAATGTTTCCATGGCACGAGTGTGGGGGTGCATGGCACAGTATAAGGTACCTGACCAGCAAAGGAGGAAGCTAGATCCTAAGGCACAGTGGGGGATCTTCCTTGGGGTTTCTGAGAGGAGCAAGGCTTGGGTGCTGTGGAGTGTAGCTGACCAGCATGTGATGGAGAGCCGTGATGTGGTTTTCCATGAGGGGCTGAATTTTAAGGGGTGGAAGGAGCATGGTACAAGCCAAAGTGGGACTTCCATTCAAGACACTCATACGGCTTCTATCTTTGAGGGGGCATGGGAGGACCCTGGAGATGAAGGGGAGGAGCAGCAGGAGGAGCCAGAACCAGCTGATCCTAACCATGAGGAGTCCCGAGAGACAGATTCTACCCCTCAGCCAGCCACGCAGGCCGATGCGCGTGATGACCAGCCGGAGCAACATGTGCCTTCAACTCCATCGAGAAGCAGTTGGCAGCAGTTGTTGAACCAGCAGCTGTCCAAGACTCCAAGGACTCCAATGAAGAGGGTGACTTGGGAGGAGAAGCTGCGGAGGCTGGAAGAAGGAGAGGCAACACCTCTGCGACGCAGTGCTCGAATTTCCCAGCCACCTGAAAGGTTTTCACCGGGGCACATTGCACGCATGCATGATCATCTTGTGTCTGATTTGGATGATTGCATGCTTGTGGACATGCATGGGCATGAGTATGCTCTTGATGTGTGTCTAATGGGTCAGGTGCATGAGCCTAGGTCAGTCCATGAGGCGCTGAACCGTCCCGAATGGGTTGAGTCTATGCATGAGGAGCTTGAGTCTCACAAGGTAAATGGATCGTTTGAGCTGGTTGATCCAGCTGTGGTACCACCTGGTTTGGAGGTCCTCAGGTGTCAATGGGTTTGGAAATACAAGCATAACCCTGATGGTACCATTGAGAGGCCTAAGTCCAGATTGGTGGTGATGGGAAACACGCAGAAATTGGGAGTACACTATGAAGAAGTGTACTCTCCAGTTGGGAAGCATGCGACCTTGAGAGGTATGCTTGGAATTTCAGCTGCTTTGGGGCTTGATATCCATGATATGGATGTCAAGACAGCCTTCCTCCATGGGGATTTGGAGGAAGAGCTTTACATGCGGCAGCCCCCTGGTTTTGATGATGGCTCTCACCGAGTGTGTCGCCTCAAAAAGTCCATTTATGGGCTAAAGCAAGCCCCACGACAGTGGTACCTAAAATTTGATGAGGCTCTCATGGATTTTGGGTTTGAGAGATCTGAGTGTGACCCTGCCTTGTACCACTTTGTGAGAGATGAGGAGCGGATCTCCTTATTCCTCTATGTGGATGACCTTTTGCTCCTATGCTCTAGCAAGGCTTTGCTAGATCGAGTGAAAGACTTCTTGTCCTCGCGTTTTCGCATGAAGGACTTGGGGGAGGTGAAGTACTACTTGGGAATGCAAATTGAGCGTGATGAGAGTGGTATCTTGATTCATCAAGAGAGGTACATTCTTAACATGCTTCAGTCCTTTGGTCTCTCAGAGGCCAACCCCGTGCGTACTCCTCTCCCAACAGGCTTTGATGTGCATGCCTATGAGGATGAACCCTTGCTGCGAGATGAGCTGGTCAAGCTCTACCAAAGCATTGTGGGATCCCTCATGTATGCTTGTACTACCACACAGCCACAGATTGCCTTTGCAGTCTCACAGCTATCTAAGGTCGCCTCTTGTCCTAAAATGTTTCACTTGCAGGCCGCTAAGAGAGTGCTGAGGTACCTGAAAGGTGGTGTCAAGTCAGGTATCTTCTTCCAAACACAGCCCCAGTCTCAGGTCCAGCTAGTTGGCTTCAGTGATGCTGACTATGCTGGAGATTCCGCAAGTCGCAGGAGCCACAGTGGGTATGTGTTCTGTCTGAATGGGGCAGCTATCTCTTGGCAGAGCAAGAGGCAGCCCGTGGTAGCACTCTCTACCACTGAGAGTGAGTATATAAGTCTGTGTCAGTGCATTCAGGAGGGTGTCTGGCTGAGGCGTTTGTTTGGGGAGTTTGGCCATGATCATGCTGGTGGTGTGCCTGTGTTTGTGGATAATCAGTCTGCCATTGCCCTTGCACAGAATGCATGCTTGCATGGCCGCACCAAACACATGCAGGTCCGGTGGCATTTCATTCGGGAGATGGTAACTGCGGGAGAGGTGATTTTGCAGTGGTGCCCCACCAACCGTCAGGATGCTGATATTCTTACCAAGTCTCTTCCATTTGAGCGTCATGGTGTGTGCATGACCTTGCTCGGGATGCAGCCCCATGATGACAGAGTTCCCGCTGCAGATGCCGGCGTCTTGGTGCTCCTCTCCTTGGCGGACTCCATGCTCTGGGTGGCCCCAACCCATGGGCAAGGGGGAGTGGTGTGAAGTCTTTTGCCCTATGGTGTTGAGCCACACCCAGCACGAGCAAGGGGGAGTGATAAATGTGTAGTGTTCTGTGGTGTAGTTTGCTCTAGCTGGTTGTGGGC